TCCTGAGCCGGCCGTGGGGAGGGGGCAGTGTTCCCGCTCGCTGAGCCCCTGCGGCGCAGGGAGGACGCGACAGGAGAGACAGCGGCCTGTCACCTGCTTCAAGCTGCAGGAGGTGGGGTAGTTCAAGTGCCAGCCCCTGTCATGGGCTCACTGCGACCCCATATTCCTGTGCAGAAGCCCCAACCCCCCAACTCAGGACACAACCGTATTTGGGGATGGGGGCTTCGTGTGGTGATTAAGGTAAAGGGAGGTGGGGGGGCCTGATCCGGTGTGACCGGTGTCCCGGACACAGACACACAGAAGGGTGGCCAGCGAGGACGCGGGAGAAGACGGCATCCACGCGTGGGGAGGGAGGCCCCGGGGGCCCCGGCCTCAGGGACTGCGAGGGGGCACGAGTGTGTTGCCCAGGACGGGTCCCTGGAGGCCCAGAGACCCCACAGCAGCCCGGCCCTCATGCCCCTTGGGCTCCTCTTACCGCTGTCATGGCGCAGGACACCCCTGCTCGGCGCCGGCTCGCAGCCCTGGCCCACGGACCGTACGCGTAGGAAACGCCGCTCTGAGCCACGAGCCTGCCTCCCCTGCGGCAGCGCGAACCTTTGTCGCAGGGAGACTTTTCAGACGGTTCTTTTCTGTTCTCACTGAAATTTACCCAAACTGGTCGCTATCAGAGCCTCTCTCATGGGTGCCTCATCGGGCGCACGGAGGTGGGGCGAGACTGACTCGGTGTCCCCACAACGTCGAGTTTGGTGAACTCTTGCCAGCATCCGTGGCTTGTACCACATAAATGGTGGCTACACGTGGGCTGTGGAAGCCGGTGGACCGGCAGGCCCTGAGGGACACTTCTGGAAGGAACGGTACATGGCTCCCAAATGCAGGAAAGGTTGCCCCATCAGACCCACGATGAGAGAAATGTAAATTAAAAATGCTTTAAAATAGCACGTACACGCAACAGTGGGAAAGACGGAGGCCGCCCAGTGCCCACGGCTGTGTCCGGGGACACAGGCACCGGCTTCCACGTAGCTGGTGGGAGGGCCCATCAGTCAGACATTCGGGCAGGAAGTTTGCCAGGACCTCTCGAAGTCAACGGGAGGCATCCTCAATGACCTAGGGTCTTGTAGAGCCGTGTCATCTGAAAATCTGCAGGTGAAAGCTGTTACCCTGAGCAGCAGAAAACAAACTGTCGTGCGCCGAGTAACGGAAAACCACGGGCTGTTACGAGGAGCAGAGTCATGTATCCTCACGTGGAGCCGTCTCCCAGGCGCAGGGTCCCCTGGAAGCGCTGGGCTCTGTGCAGCTACTACCTGCTTGTCACAGAAAGCCTGCAGTAGTGATGGCTCTGGGGGAGGGGCCGGCCACCGTCACCGTGAGGACACGGGCCACCAAGCCGTGGGTGCTCCCCCGGGTCTCTGAGAGCAGGGCCACGGGAGGAGGGCCGCCAGGGGCCACAGAACCAAGTCCTTTCAGGAAGAGCGGCAAGTGCTAGTTCTCAAGATGAAGGTGCCGAGGCTGCCCCAGTGGCTTCCAGCCGAGTGTCTCTGGGCCGCCCGCCTACGTGGGCAAGGGACTCGTGCCGTGGGTGACACCCTGGGCTGGTGGGAGGCACTGGGGCAGAGACACGGGGGCAATGCTGGGGGAGCACTGGGTGTGGCGGGAGGGGGGGGTTGCACCCCTCTCCCCTCCCCTGCGCACACCTCCCCTGCTCCCCTGCACACACGTCTCTCCGCAGCCGCCAGCCACCAAACCTGCTCCGTCAGCTCGCTCCTGTCTTCTCCCTGGGGAAGCCTGTAGACGTTCCCGGTGGGGGGACCCGCACTTTTGTGCATTCACCCCAGCACTCGGCGGCGGCGTCCTCACCCGGGGGACGGGGCTGCCGTCGGCTCCCACCTCTCGGGGTCTGAGCTGTGGCTGCTGCGTGAATGTGCAGTGACGCCCATTCCTGCCTCTCGCTCTTGGAGGGCGAAGGGCAATCACAGCATGATTGACCCTCAACATGGGCAGAGGCGTGTTTATGAGACCATCCAGCAATGTTTTCCTGAATTCGGATCTCTGTTCCTTCAGTCGTAATGGGGACAGCAGCAAGCCAACTTTCCGTCCGTGTGTCTGCTCCCCGCACACTGCTCCCCGGCCTTCCAGCCTGTGCAGAAGGGCAGGAGGCTGGCGTAGACGCATCCTGGCCGCTCCGCATGCGTTCTCGCGGCCGCGCGTTCTCTGTTACACCGGCTTCGCAGCAGGCGCCCGTGTCCTCGGGTCTCCAGACCCTGACCTGCTCTTGGCATCTACAGAGCACCACACTCCAGCCTCTGGGAACACACGTGATATGGGAATGACCTTCCTAACTGCCAAGTCCAAAGGTGATGCCTTCCCTCCGGCACCCCCATCACACGTTCCAGACACAGCAATGCTCACGATAGTCAGGGGCCCCTTGTTCTCTAGAGCTCTGCAGGGGTCCTGAGGAAGCACCACCCTGCTGCCCTGCAAATGTTCTTCAGAATCTCATTCCGTCTGGGAATCTCACGGTGCCCCCACTCCCCACCCGGCCGTGGCTCAAGCTCGTGGGACCCAGACCCAGCACTGCTTCCCTCAGCGCCACAAAGGCTGGGGTCCACATACCCGGCCTCCCAGGACCCCTATCTTGAGCTGACCCTTCGGTGCCCCAGCAGGGCAGCTCTGATGGCCCCGGTCTGCGCAGGAGGACCAGCTCGTTGGGTGGGGCATTTATTTCTAGAGTTCTCTTCCTGTGCCTTCCAGGCAGGAGCTCACAGCACCTTGCACAGGAAGCCCCGGACTCTACAGCAGAAAGTGACCAGGGGACAAGCCCAGCTGAGCCTGATTCCCCCGGAGGAGCCTCACGCTAGGTCAACCTGCTTCCCAGGCGAGCCCCACCCCCAGGCGAGCCCGGCCCATGTCAGCCCCGCCCCCAGGTCAGCTGCTCCTGATGGTTGGTACTTGGACACCAGGGACGGACATCTGGCTTGACTTCCCATGTCACATATTCCTTCAAACATGCATTCCATCCTTTGCTGAAGAGAACGTTCCAGTTTTGCACCCTGGCCGCAGGTTTTCGTGATTCGTATGCTTTCCCGACAACTTGGCTGACGCCCTCCCTACTGTGTGGGGTGCTCCTTGCTTCCACCCCTTGTCCCGACGTAAACAGCTTTGCCGTGGGTCTCATCCTCCCCGTGACGTACAATGTCGCATCTGCACGAGGCGCGGGGAGCAGCGGGCATCGGAACGGCTGCTCCCTGGGATCTGCCTGGACTTTGTGTCATTTATCGGATGGTCCTCGAGCGCTTCGTGTGGACTTCAGGAAGGTCACTGTGTAGCTGTCTGGTAAACACGGACCTTTCATTACGCAGGGTCGAGCTGACTGATCACCTCAGAATGACCTTCCTTGTAGGCTTAACGAGTTAGAAGGTCAGGCATTCCGGCACATTCCTGAGGTTCGGACCGCCGGGTTTCTACAGGCCGTGCTAGGGAGGGGGAGGGCCATCCGTGAACCAGTAACAAGAGCGCCAGTACTGTTGGCCGTGACTCTGGCCTAGCCCAGTGTGCTCTGTGGCCTTCCGCGTTCCCCACGAGAACAGACTACGGCTTGAGGGCCTAAAGGGTGAGTCATTTTACCTGCTTTTAGTGGGTGAGAATTTTTGTGAAAATGCTCCTGGCTCACTTGGGCCAATGGCTGTAGGCTTCTGGGGTCTGCACAGGGGGGTGCTTGGGATGCAGACACGCGGGGCAGGATGACGCAGGGCCTGAACCCACACGTCAGGCTGGGTCAAAGGACCCAGTCAGGACCCTGCATGAGGCAGCAAGTGCTGAGAGCCACATACACAGACCCCGTTTCCACCAAGGGTGAGGGCGCGGGGGGAACGGCTGGGGCAGGAACCGGGAGTGGGGATGTGGGGGGGGGGGGCGGCTGGCCACCGGAGCCCCTCCCAGGAGGCGGGTGGCCGTGGAAGAAGGTTCTGGCTGCGAAGGGAAGGGGCCTCCCCAGATACCCAACTGCAGTTCCTCCATCTTGGACGTCGAGCCCCTGGGACTCTGGGGGCCGGAACCTTGCGGAGTTTGCTGTGGCAGCTGGAGTGGACGAGGCTGCTGGCGCACTGCCGTCTCACTACCCTGTCGGTGAGCAGATGAGTGTTTCGAGACAACAAGCACCACTTGTGGGGCCTGTCCCACACAGGCACGGGGACGTAGACCAGACCATGAAAAACACTGCCCGGATCTGGGGTGTGTTCCCGTGTCACGGGCCACAGTCCAGGGCTCGCTTCTCGTCGCTGGAACGGTCCCCGGGAGGTCACGGCTAGCAGCTGCGTGTTAGCTCTGCAAGCGGAAGACTCGCAGCCTGAACTTCCGGGGGAAAACCCGTCACGTAAGAGGAGACTCACCCCAACTCTGGACTGAGCGCCGTGCACGGCCTCTCCACGCCCGGGGCCTCGGGGACGACACTCAGTTTGGGGAAAGACGGGATGGGGACAGTTTGTCCCCCGACGCGTGGAAGGAGGGCCCCACAGCGGAGGCTTCCACCCAGGGCCTCCAGGGCCTCTTCTTACGAAAAAGCTGGGCTCCACGCCCCCACCTGTGCCCGGAAGCAGCAGGTGAGGGACGCTCATCGACCCAACCCACACTTGGCAGCCACACCACAGGGGAAGACGCCACGAGTGATGGATGACGGCAGTGCACGCAGTAGGTGTCCACTGAAAACAAGACACCCAGGGTGCGCGTGCACTCCAGGCACAAGACGGGGGAGACCCCGCGGCCGCAGCCCCATCCTCTCTTCGCCTGGGAGGGCCGGGTGGGCGGGGTCTGGACTTTCCCGGTCGTCGTTTCCGGCCGGCGGCCCGGCAGGCGGGCTTGCTGCTGACGGCTCTGAAGTGGCGGGCGTGTGAGGGATGGGACCTGGGGGGCCGGGGCGCCATAGGCCCCCCCCTCCCCGCCCCCGGCCGCACCCCTCCTGCAGACCGGGGACCGGCGCTTCCCGACGGCGAGGACGCGGGCCTTACCAGGACCACGTGGCCGGTGGAGATGTCCATGTGCGGCTGCACCGGCTCCTCTGACCAGGACGACGTGCTGCTCCGCGCAGAGGGGCTGGGCGCCGGCCCGTCACTGAGCGCGGACGACACGCTGCTGACGCGGGCCGTGGGCGGGCGCTCCGACGTGCGCGTGGCCATGCGCTGCCGGCACAGCTCCTGGGGGACAGCGAGGGCGTTAGTGCTGCCCAGCGGCCGCGGCCTCCCCCCTGCCTGGCCCGGCCTGCGCACCTAGGGGCACGCGGGGGTCTCCCCTGCGGGCACGCACATGCACACAGCACACACACGTACATGTACACACACACAATACACAGATACACACACACAGACACACATCTGTGCACACGCGCGCACATACACACATGTACACTGCAAACACAGATACATACACACATCTGTGCACACGTGCGCACATACACATACGTACACTGCAGACACAGATACACACATACACATATCTGCGCACACGTGCACATACACACATGTACACTGCAGACACAGATACACAAACACACATCTGTGCGCACGCGCGCACATACACATATGTACACTGCAGACACAGATACACACACATACACACATCTGTGCACACGTGCGCACATACACATATGTACACTGCAGACACAGATACACACACACATTCACAAAAAGGCCCCTGGACCGAGCTCCGCGGTGACACTGGACCAGCCTCAGGACCATGCAACGTGCAGGCTGAGTCATGCCTCCTTCCTTCCTCCTCAGAAGACGGGTCACAGAGGCAGGGAAGGGTGTGACTGCGCTCTGAGGTTGCTACTGCGGTCAGGCATTGGGGAGTGGGGGGTAACAACCGCTGTGTGGCTCCCCCCTTTCCCCCAGCAGGTAAGAGCCCACGCAGGAGGTAACAAATAAAATCACATATAAAAAGGAAAGTATGTGGTTAATAGAAAAGGGTTTGCTTCTCTGACCAGACTCCCAAAGACGAAGCTTACAGATGTAAAGGAAAATCTCAGGGGGACTGAGCTTCTGTTCCGTCACCGCAGGGTCCTCGTGGCCCTGCACTGGGCGTACGCGGCACTCAGAGACGGGGACCCGGTGGGGCCCACGTTAGCGCTGGCTGTCATCGGACAGTCAGCAGGGACGCCCCCCCCACCCCTCACTAGCAAACCACTACCCTGCAAGGGCTCCGGCGCCACGACCTCATGACTTCCACCTTCTGCCCCCGGAAACATCACCGTAACCGGAGCCATCAAACTAACGACATCAGGACAGAGTCCGTAAACGAATGGGAGCCCAGGACAGGAATTAAACATGCCTTCGCGGGGCCAGATGCTCCAAAGCTGCCGGCCTCCCAGTGCTGCTCCCTCCCAGCGCTGCCCCCACCAGCTCCACGAACCCACACAACGCTCACGTGTTTTCCTGAACCTTCCGCGCAGCTGCCATTTTCCTCAGCGTTGGAGACCTTCGTAAGGCAGCTGCCACCATAGGGAGAGCTCTCTGGGCGCAGCTCCCGGGGAAGGCACGACACGTGGGCCCGGAGCCGGGACAGAGCCCTGCGCCGCACAAACCCTCCGCCAGCCAGAGCCGTGGGTCTCGGGGAGCAGGGCTGTGGGCGTCCCAAAGAGCCAGGGGAACGTCAGACACAGGCCACCGTGAGGGTGGCGGGGGGTGGGGGGGGCGCCACTGTGCGTCCCCTGCATCTGGCCACCATCCCCAGTGCTGTCCGGCTCACACACGGCTTTCACACGATGAGTTTGTTAAAAAACCCAGCCAGGTTTCTCATAATCTTAAAAACAAACAAACAAGCCGCAGCCACAGAAACAGTGGCTACTTTTAATAAGAGAGATGGTGTCAGTAAGCACTTCTTTCCCACGGGAGACGATCACCTGCAGAGCAAGTAGTAAGTCCGACCGGAACCTCCAGGCAACTCCACCGCAGGCCCGGAGGGCGCAGAAGATGCATCCAGGAAGGAGCGCCCCGGGGACGCAGATTTGAGATGGCCGTGATTTGGTCACTAAGAAACAAACGCCACTGCAGCCGGGTGCCCCCCAGGACCGTGCGGGGATGGGGGTGACCACGGGCTCTCTCCTCGAGGGAGGCCACACAGCCTCCAGGGACGGGGCGCGTCACTCAAGGTCTCCGGGCGTTTCCACTCTTCAAGTGGCAGTACTGGCCTTGTTACCGTGAGATGCCCATGGTGGCCGCAGGGAAAGTCTCCCGTCATTGCTCAGCAGGCCGCGCGAACGTTCACACAACAAAAACGAACAGTCCCAAGGGCTCAGTGAGTTCAAAGATACTTCCAGAGAAGCCACAAAACCCTGGAGCCGGGAGAGGCAGTGGTCGTTGGTCAGACTCGGCCCTTGGCACTTTGACTTAGCAGCTGACCAGAGGCTCCGTGGACGGTGCGGGGCTGCGACCTGGGGCCGAAGTGCTGCGGCGCCGCTCCATGCTGGTGCTGCCTGTGGGTCCTTGAAAACAGAGGGTTCTTGGGGCACAGGGGTGTTCAGTTGGTTAAACGTCCAACTTCAGCTCAGGTCATGATCTCACGGTTCGTGGGTTCAAGTCCCACCTCGGGCTCTGTGCTGACAGCTCGGAGCCTGGAGCTGCTTCCGATTCTGTGTCTCCCTCTCTCTCTGCCCCTCCCCAACTTGCACTCTGTCTCTCAAAAATAAACATGAAAAAATAATTTTAAGAAGCCAACGGAATTCTTGCAGACAGAGAGAAGGCTCCAAGATGTGGTCCTGGCCTGCGTCCCAGGGCAGTGCACACCCACCCCCCGGGCGCCTGGGAGAGCGGCCACCCCGAGAGTGAGGGAGCAGCCCTGGCCAGGCCGGTGGGTGCCAGGGGCCCTGGCTTCTCCCATCACATTCTCTACATACAGGTAAAGACACGGGCCACCTGCTCAGCTGGGACCTTGATTTTGAACCACTGCTGTCCAGGTTCTGCGTGAAGAGCACAGCCAGCAGCTAGGACCAGTGTCTCGGGGGTGGGGGTGGGGGGTGACGTCAGAAGTAGGTTCTTGGATTTGAGGCCACTGCGCACTTGAGGCCCTCACAGCCCCCGGTCTGTGGGGGCCAGCCTGACCCTGATGCGGGCTGACTGGTGGCTGCACTCAGCTGTGCTCTCCCCGTGCCCCCAGCCAGCACCCGGCTGGCCTCACACGCCGCTCCTGGATGCCAGGAATAACTGTCTGGGGAGACGAGCCCGGCCCTGACCCCCTCCCCCCCGCCCTGTGCTCATGGTCCAGCCCAGAGCTGTTTGGGGATCTGGGGAATGGGAGCCGGTGGGCAGGGGCCTCCCGGATGGGAAGCTGCAGAGTGGGCAGTGGGCTCAGCCAGGCGTTGTGAGAGAAGGATCAGGACCCGGAGGGGCTACAGTCTCCAAGTGGGCGCGGTACCCCGCAGAGGGGAAAAATCGGAAGAACGGCCCGGCCACAGCTCTCCACTGGCTGTGGGCGCCCGCATTCCCAGTCTCCGGGCTGCCTTCGGCTGTCGGCGTTCTGTCTGGGAAGCACAGATGGCAAGTGAGGTGGTCTGTGCAGGTGGGGACGCCAGTCAGGGGGTGAGGCCCCAAAGGAAGCCGCCACTCACCTGCGGCCCCTGCGCCCTCCTTCCCCTCCCATCCCACGTCCCGCAAGCCCACTGTTGCGGAGACGTGGGCATCGTGGCTGAGGTCCGCGCAGGACCCGCGGGGGGGCCAGCTGTTCCGAGTGGCATCCTTGGGGTCTGCTTGGCGGCTTCTGTTGAGCTGGGGTCCGAGCTGGGCACTGAGGAGGGAGCAGCGGCCAGGGGTCGCCACTCCTGTGACCTCGGGCAAACAGCTTACCCTCCCCCGCCTCATCTCCCTAACGTGAGACCCGGGAGTTGCACCGCGTGCTGGCCCCACAACACGGGGTCGCCGCGTGAGCGTCACGGCAGCAGAGGCGTGGACACACCTGTAAGGGCCCCGGGAGAGCACGGCCCATGCGGCCCACAGACCGCGAGGGGCCAGCCCCAGCCTCCGATGCCCCTCTGTGCCCATCTGTTTCAACCACTGGGTCGGATGAACACACCCACCAGGAGGGGACACAGGCCAGGCTGCTCTGGGACCCTGACTGTGAGCCCCCACAGGAGGAATCTGCGTCCCCCTCTCTCCCCAGCTGCCAGGTCAGCTCCGGATGCCCCCAGGGAGGCTTCTCTGCCCATGGGAGAGATCTCTGGGGGAACCACCATGTGCCCCCCTAATTAGTGCTTCAGGTTGACTATGGCTTGAAAATTAGTGATAGAAATCCTGTATTCTGACCAGTCTCTGTGCTCTTACCTCATTTTATAATATTTTTATTTTTTTAAATTTTATTTATTTTTGAGAGTCAGAGAGAATGAGATAATGGAGGTGGGGCAGAGAGAAGGAGAGAGAATCCCAAGCAGGCTCTACACTGTCAGCAAGGAGCCTGATGTGGGGCTTGATCCCACGAACTGTGAGATCATGACCTGAGCCGAGGTCAAGAGCTGGACGCTCAATGACCAGGTCACCCAGGTGCCCCTCCTTACTGCTACTTTATTTATTTATTTATTTATTTATTTATTTATTTATTTATTTATTTTTTAAATAGTTTATTGTCAAATTAGTTTCCACATAACACCCAGTGCTCATCCCCACAAGTGCCCTCCTCCATGCCCATCCCTCCTCCCCCCCACATCCATCAGTCCTCAGTTTTTGTCAGCATTCAAGAGTCTCTCATGGTTTGCCTCTCTCCCTTTCCCCCACCATTTCCCCCTTCTTCTCCCCCTTGTTCCTCTGTTAAGTTCCTCCTAATCCTCCTATACGTGCAAACATATGATATTTGTCCTTCTCTGCCTGACTTATCTCGCTCAGCATAACACCCTCAAGGTCCATCCATACTGCTACTTTAAAACCAACATTTCCTGAGGACACCCGAGCTCCGCTTTAAGAGACAAGACGCAGACCACCACCTGACCCACGTGGCGTGGCCGGGGCTCGCAGCACCGCCGTCTGGCCCCTGCGCCCTCCCCAGACTGGCCTGGGTGACACCGCACTGTTCATCTGAAAGTCTCATCTACACGGAAGAGGACAATCCAGGTCCAAGAGAGGGGGTGGAGGCCTGAGCCTCCAGCCCCTGCGGCAGCAGTTCAGCTGTGCGGTGGGCGCAGGCCTTTATTTAGAATGTTCTGTGAGGCTTACGG